ATATTCTCCAACTCCATCCATTTACCTGCAAATGCCAGGACCATACTGTGTTACTTTTGATCATTTAGATTTTTCTTTAGTCATTAGCATAAAGATTACAGTGGTATAACAAAATTTGACAATCTAAGAATTCTGGTTATTTTTTAGTAGTAGTTTATAAAGTTTTTACAAACTTTTTTTTTTCTTTGCTGGGTCACAAAGAATGTTCTGTATCTAGGATTATATGCGATTGCTTTCTAGTTTATTAGTACTTAACATGAAATGTCAGGCAAATTAATATTTATCCATTCATTTTCTTTGTTGAGCAGTACCAGGGACGGAACCCAATAACACTAGGTTCAAATTACAATGATTATTGATTATTGTGAATTTAGTCCTCATTATCTTTAAGACAATGAATGCATTAATCTTTTCATTTCTCATGCTGTTTTGACCAGTTTTGCTTTATACTGCACAACAGAGACATGGAAAACCTCGTAGTGATCCAGAAGGGAATCATGAAAATGATAATAAATAAAAATCAGTCTTTGTAATTGTTGCATGTTTATCATCCTGAAAATATTTTAATAATATTTGCCCTCTCAGTTCAGCCAGTTTATCCTTTTCATGAATTCTGCTGTTCTCAGAGTGAAGACCTAAGGCACAACGTCACTTCTACTTCTTCATTCCACCTGGACTTCAATCATGCATTCTTCATTTCTCAGAAATTTCACTTTTACCACTGCCTAATATTTTCTTATAAATACTAGTCTGAATTGCTTTGTGTATTTTTTAATTGTGGAAAAGACACACAGAATTTGCCATCTTAATCACTTGTGAGTATACAGATGGACGATGTTAAATACACTCACATCTTTGTTCTTCCACCTCCATATATCTCCAGAACGCTGATCTCAGGAACCTGAAATTCTGTACCGTTGAAACAATAATTCCTCATTCACCCTTCTCCCAAAACTTGGCAACCACCACTCTATTTTCTGACTCTATAAAATCTGACTATTCCAGGTGCCTCCTTGCGTAGGTGGAGCCATGTAGTACTTGTCCTTTTAGAACTGGCTTGTTTCACTTGGCATAACGTCCGCAAGATTCATTTGTGACATAGCATACATTGGAATCTACTTCCTTATTAAAGATGAATAACATTCCTGTGTGTGTGTGTGTCTGTGTGTGTACATGTATACACACACACACCACATTTTGCTAATCCATTCATCCATCAATGGACTCTCAGGTTTTGCTACCTTTGGGTTATTGTGACCAATGCTGCTGTGAACATGGATGTGCTCCTATCTTTTGGAGGCCTTGCATTCAAATTTCTTACTTATGTATCCAAAAACGAGACTACTAGATCATACAGTAACCTTATTTTAAATTTCTGGAGAAACGCCACACTGTTCCATAGTGGCTGTGACATTCCTACCCGCAGTGCACAAGGGTTCCATTTTCTCCATACCTTGTCAATAGTTGTTCTTTTCTGTTTTCTTGATAGCCTAATGGGGAGAGGTGGTATTTTACTGTGGGTTTGATTAACAATTTCCTTACGAGAAGTGATACTGAGCAACTCCTCATGTGCTTGTTGGACATCTGTAGATCTTCTTTGGAAAGCATCTGTCCAAGTCCTTTGCCTACTGAATTGCTATTGAATTGTAGGAGTTCTTTATATATCTGGATAATAACTCCATATTAGATATATCTGACTTGCAAATAGTTTCTCCCATTCTGTGGGTTGCCTTTCTTCACTCTGCTGAATGTGTGCTCTGCTGCATGGTAGTATTTAATTTTGATGTAGTCCAATGTATTTTTTCTTTTGTGGCCTATGACCTTGGTGACACATGTAAGAAATCATTGCTAAATCCAATGCCATGAAGCTCTTCTCTTTATTTTCTTTGAAAAGTTTTGTTGTTTGCATACTTTATGTTCAGGTCTTTGATCCCATTTTGAGTTAATTTCATATATAAAGTAGGATCAAGGCCCCAAATTCATTCTTTTACATGTGAATATCCAGTTTCGGCCACACCATACATTGAAATGGCTTTCTTTCCCCTTTCTAATGCTCTTGGCATTTTCTCAAAAACCATTTGATCACACACCTGAGGGTTTACTTCTGGCTCTCTATTCTAGCCCATTGTTCTATATATCTCTCTTTATGCAACATCCTCCTGTTTTGCTAAATCTAACTTTGTAATAAGTTTTAAGACGAGCGGGTGTGAGGCCTTCAATTTTGTTCTTCTGTCAAGATTATTTTCAGTGTTTGGGATCCCTTGAGATTTTATAGGAGTTTTGGATAAACTGTCTATTTCTGTTAGGAATGTCATTGGAATTTTGATAGGGATTGCATTGAATCTGTAGACTCTGATAAACAACATTGACATCTTAACCACATTAAGTCATTTAATCTCTGACATAAGACTTCTTTCCATTTATTTGTGTCTTTAAATTCTCTGAACAACATTCATAGTTTTCAGTGTATAAGTCTTTTGCCTCCTTGGTTAACTGTGTTCCTTCCTAACTTTTGTGTGGGGGAAGGGAGCTGGAACCGGGGATTGAACCCAGGGTTTCACACATGCTCCGAAGGTGCACAACCACTGAGCTACACCCCAGCCCCTTATTCCTAACTGCTTTTTTTCTTTTTGAAGTTATTGAAAATGGAACTATATTTGCTTTGTGTACTGCAACAACATGCATAAATGGGATCATTTAGTAGTATGTATATCTTTGCATCACTCTTTTTACTGCTATTGTGATCTGTACCTATGTGACGGCATGCACAAGGGCACACAGCACCTTCAGGGAAGCTGCCACGAGGAGGAGGAGAGCAGAATGGAATGATACAAAAGGAAGACTCTGCTGTATTTGTACATATTTTTCTTTTTAAATTGGAGATATATATAGAAGATCTATACATTTATTGTAATTTCCTCATGTGAAATATAATTTATAATACCTAATTTTTTTTAAAAAGGACTCTGAAAATGTGTGGTACCTGAGCTTTACCAAGAGCTAAATAAATAAGACTTTGCTTATATAATTTCTGGAATCATTAACTTGGATCTACACTGTCACATTTTGGCTCATTTTTTTCTTGATGTGACAGGAAGTCAACAATCACAGTTCTCCGTTCTGTGACCTAAAAGAAAATAATCACTCTGCAGAAATCTTCATACAACGTGCCTTCACTTACCCTGCACTGTTCAACCTGCCTCCTTTCATAATGCTGAGGTCAAATGAAATCAGCTCAACTCAAATATGCCCAGGACACAGGGCCCCAGCAGGAGCACAGGCTTTTCCCGGGCTACAAGATGCTTCTGAAGACCCTGAGTGCGGGAAACAGGTAACTTTTAACTATTTTTCCTTTTTAATTGGGAAATCGTTTTTTATATTATCTATCAATGTGGATATTTTTCAGGGAAAGTTTTAATTTCAGTGTGTTTTTCTCATGAGCTAAAAAGTGAAGCAGGAGGTAATTCTAAAAGACGAATTCAAAAGACAGCACTTGGGCAATCAGATCAAGGGTTTCTAGTTTTCCAACATAGAATCTGAAGCAAGCACAAAGAACTAACAGCTCTAAGACATCACGGGGCAACCTTCTGGTTAAGGCAGGGTGCTGCTAGGAAAAACACTGAACTGCACTATCGGATTGCAAGGCGGCTTCAGTGGTGACTCAATATAGAACATAAAACTGGGCTGAAGTTCACATTTTTATAAAGTCAACCTCCCCCGGAGAGACACTGCACTCTAAGAGTAATACTCTTTACTACTCAACTCATATAATCTGCTACTCAACCTGACATTTTTTAAAAAAATAATCATATAGATAAGAGGAATGTAAAGAATGACAAAAATTTATCACCAAAGTTATTGTTAAATAATTATTTAATCATTACAGCTTTCATGTTTAAGTGAGCTGAGTGAATTATCTTTTAGTGAGCAAAGCTTTAGTTAGCATTTTGGCATGCAGAATGATTCACAGAACTTAAAGAAAATCAAGGAGACTTAATTTATGAATTATCTCCTTTTTTGTGGATATGATTCCCACACAAAAATGTTGGCCTCTCAGGGCCACAGTCCAGCACTCCTCTGGCACACAGTAGGCCTGCAATAAGTGCTTGTGGAACAATGAATTCTCCTGAATCCCCAGCTTGTCACATTTTGTCACTGAGACCAAGAAACCACCATGCCCCTCAAGCCTCATCAGGTTTTAAGCGAAATATTATCATTTTAAGTTTCACATCCTGTTCCTTCTTCTGACTAAAAAGTCGTTTGTTTCTCCAAAACAAAATGACTTCTCAATGCCACTTGGGAGTGCGAAGAGAAATGAGGGTAAACATAGTATTTGTCACACTAACTGCATAGCAGCTTTCTTGAGCTCAGGTTGAAAATATAAAATCATAAAAGTTCAAACGGCAACTCTTCAGGTATTTATCTGGCAATTCCCAGTTACAGATTTAAAATATATCATTCAGCACAAACACTGAAATTGTAATGAACTTTGTTCACTACAGACCAGAACTCAAACTAGTGCCAATTCTATCAGGGACACCATCCAAGTTTTTCAGAACAAAAAGAATGTCACCACACAGTGAACTTAGCCTCAAGAATGTCACACACAACATGAAGCCTGAAGACAATGTTGTATGAGGCTTCACGTTACCTGTATGAAAAGAATGGTCACCTACCACCACAGCCATCACACATTTGGAATTATAAGTAAAGATGTTCTTCTCTATAACAAATGCCAAAATATTACTTTTCATTAAACACTCAAGGGAAAGAGTCAGGTATCAGGAAGCAGGTTTAGAAAGGAACTAAATCTAGGTATGTATTTCCAAATTAGCATAAGAAAACACAGTCTCATTTACATCAGCTTCCTGAAGAAGCTGAAACAAATATGTAGCTATGCCAGCAATTCAAAACAGGAGAATCACTGCACAGGTCAAATGTGGTTTTAAATATTCACAGATAATTCAAGATTGTCAAATAAAGAAAGAAATAAAACTCACAGAGAATGCTGAGCCACTGCTTGATGCTATGACAGTGTGATCTTCATTGTGTAATTTTACGGAGAGCTCCCACTTAGCCACGTCTGGCTTAATAACAGGCATTCTGGAGTCAAGAAAAGAAAAAGAATTAATAATTTTATATCATTCTTTCTCATTAAACAAAATTTCCTTTGACACTAAGTGTGTGGAGTAAAACTGCCGAAGAATGTATTTCTGAACATTTTATTCTAAAAGGTTCCTGGGGTGGAGGGTTCAGATTTAAACTACAGAGGTTTAAAAACCAGTTCAGCCAAAGACAACAGCAGTCATCCAGGGGAAACTGGGTGCCTTCATTTCTCCTAAGGGCCATCATCTATTACTTTATGAATTTAAGTTGTTTAATTGTGACAGTCCTTTGCAAATTAATCAATGCCAATTTTTTCAATATTTAGTTTTCATTCAAGGCAGTTTTAAAAAAAATTATAATAAACCACTCTGCCATACATCTTAAAAGTTCAGAGACATAAAATGGATTAATTACGGAGCCAGCGTGATCTGGCATAGGGAATTGTTTTGGTTTGATTTTTACCCCTCGTAGTCAATGAGATTAAAAGCATATTAAGAAGGAACTTCTATGCATTATTCCATAATGCATACAGAATGTCCCTTCATGATATGAATTAGAAAAAAAATTACCTGAGCATATGAACTGGAATATAGCCTCAAGGAAAAATCAAAACAAAACTAAATACTAAGTGGCCGTGCTGAGTTCAGGAGCACCTAAGCAAAGTAAGTATTGGTTTCTTCTTGGGAGCTTACCATGTATGCCTTTTGCAAACCCAGTTTTCCCCAACACCTAAAATCCAAACAAACTTTCATATCTCTTAACGATGCTAGTCCATCACATGGGTCTTTTCCTGTGTATGATCAGTATTTCACAGTCCAGGAAAACTAGGTCAAGCAGCCAGCAAAAATGAAAAACAAACAAACCATTTTTAGAATATAAATGTTTCCCACAATATTTAACAAAATATAATGATTTCTGAATTATTATGTATTTAGATTACTTATACTTATGAAATGTTATTTATTAGGCACTAAACATTAGCACTTTGTAGCATCCGGTCTCCAGCTTAAGTCAGTTTTGTTGTTGTTGTTGTTTTTTAAGTTGCAGATTATGTTTTCACTTTTTCCTCCCAAATTTCAAAAAAATTCTGTCGTCAGTGTAAAAAAAAGAAATCAAAGTCATAAAAACCGTCATTAACAAATCACCACTAGTCACAATGTCCAGTGGGTGATGATTAGTAATTAAGGTGAATATCTGTATTTGGCCGACAGCCTGATCGGTTTCCTGAAGATGAGGAAATGTTTTAAATACTGAGCAGGGGAAAATGAAAGGAAAGGAAAGAAATATCAATGGTTTGTTTCCCCTGTACATTGCATGCAAGGGCTTGGAAGGTGCTTTTCTGGCAACCTGAAGAATGTTTCAGAGGAAAGAGCTTCCCCAAGGAGAGTGAAGGGAAGGGGAGGACTCCAGGAACAACTCAGGAGAGGAGAGAGGTGCGGGCAGAGAGCAGAGCAGGAGAGGGCCCGGCATTCCCCAGGACATTGCAGTTCCTGCGCTCGTCTCCCTGGCTGACCCGAGACCACTAAGAGAACATGACCGTCTCTTCCATTTGCTCATCCTGAGCTCACTCTGCAGTGCTGGGAATGGTGCCCAGAGCCTTGCACACACTGGACCAGTGCTCTTCTGCTGCCCTGCACCCCAGCCCACTCCTCCCTCCACAGGCTGAGGAGAAGGTGCCAGGAGGTCAGCAGAAGACCATGAAGCAACTGCTCTGTGCCAAACTGGGCAGGAGAGGCAGACCTGCCCAGAGTGGAGGGGAGCCTCGCACACCTGGATACTCCCTGGGGCCCCTGGACTTTGTGTATCACAGCTCTAGACTTCATAACTTGCTCACCTTCAAATGGCAAAACACCTGACCTTTCAGGGGCACTGTGGTGGCAGAGGTAGCCCCATGGCTGAGATCACCCTACAACCAGGCTTCCTCAAGTCATGGCTTTCCTCAGTTATCTACAATACTCCACCATCCTTCACCCCAAGTCAAATCTTAACCTACCCACCACTCGAGCCCCCTTGCATGCCACTTGATTTCTGATTTTCTCTGACCTCTACATCTGCTGGGCCTGACCCTTAAGCCAAGCAAATAGGAGGCAGAGGACCAAGGCTGTGGCTATAAGCTTAAGCTCTGGAACTCGGAGGAAATGCACAAAACCTGGCCTTGCCCATTACTACTTCTGTCCCTGAGCAAATTAAGTCTTAGTTCTCTTACATACATAAAATCAAGATAATAACAATGTCTGCAGTAATAGGGATGTACTAAGGATTAAATAGGGTGTATAAATGCTCACTTTTACTATGATGATTCCCCAAGGCTAGGCCTATCCTGTCCTCTTCCTAATCTAGACCTCTTCCTTTAAGACAACTTTGGATGCCTTTCCACCCTGCGCTCCAACAGGAGGACACCTCCTCCCTCAAGAACCGCTCCTCAATTCTAAGTGATCTCCCTTCTACTGGGCCAGTGCTACACGGCCTGCTGTCATGCTTTGACGAGATTCAGTGGCCTGAGGCGGCAGCTCTTTCAAGTAAACGGAGGAGACCGTTTTCAGTGATGCAAGTGTCCTCTGCCTCCAAGGAGGTGGGAAGTTGCTGATCCTGACATCCTGTTCCAACCCAGACACATTTTCCCACAGAAAGTGATCTTGCAGATGGTGGCGAGACACAGTTGCCACTCTTCGGGACCCAGCTACTATTTATTTTTCCATTGTTTTATTTTGATCCACATCTGTTTCGTATATGTTGTAGCTGGCCCCAGGAGAGACCTTCTGGTCAGAGCACAGGCTTCTGAGGCTAAGTCTCAGCCCTTCTCTCCCTAGAAACATGCCCGAGACCACTGTCAGCCCTTTGGAACCAACACCCCCACACCTGTAAAGTAGGCCCAACAGACCAGGGTAGGGGGTGGGAAGCTGTTGCTTCTAGGCACTGAATCTGGGGTGCAACTCTTCCAACAGTTTTTTTTAAGGTGATACATTAAGCAGTATAAGAGGCTTTGGTGTGAAAAAAGACCTTAAGAATCCAAAGAGAGTCAAAAGCAGGGAATCTCTCTACGAATTCACTCTTACAAACAAAATTCACTAGGATTCCTCTGACTTTCCATAGGTTTGAAAGTAGTTTTGTTTTCTTTTTTGTTTTTTAAAGAAAATGGAAGGACTGAACATATATGCTAGCTAATGAGCAAACATAAATATGTTCAGAAGTAACAACAGACTATAATAAAGTATAAATAAGGAAAATAGTACATATAGACCTTAAAGTATTCATGTTCTATTTCTGCAAATTCATTGAGAATATACTAATAGTAATTACTTTGAAATGCTGATTTCAGTTTAACAAACACATGCTTATGATGGTAACAAGTGCCTAAAATTATATTTTAAATTTTAGAAAAGAATCACACATATCCACAAAACTCAACATAGTGCACAGGAAGATTTCTATAAACAACTCCATGAAAGAGGGAGAAGGTCTGGAAGCTTCCTTGGACAGGCCACAGTAATGACACCCAGAACACGGTTGCCCCTGCTGGAGTCCATTTCTAGAGAAAAAGGCCGCCACCACACCAAGAGTTCAGAGGTGCAAGAACTGCAACCGGCAAAGCTGATGTTAATTTACAACTTCACAAAAGAAACAAAACCCCTAGAAAAGTGGGACCCACATAAATAGTAACTCACAAGCAAATCAAATAACAGCTCTCAACCGGGCCTGTTCACTTGTGATTATCACCAGCCAGCCCCAATGAAGGCTCAATAAAATCTAATTTTTATATATTTAACGGTGGAAAACTGTGCAAGTTATACAAATGAAAATACATTGCTGTTACATGTCACTTTTAAAAGTAGATTTCTGTATAGACTTAGTTTTTAAAAACTGACAGTATGTCCATTAGCAAGGACTGTGATCATCTCAAAGGCATATTATTTTAAAAAAACATTATATCAGAAAAACTAGTTTTCGATTGTGTCACTACCTATACAGGAATGAAATACTGAGTTAAAACAATGATAATGGTCAAAGAATCATTAAGAAATGCTTCATCATAACTTTCACAGTGGGTGGTCTGTAAAATGATCTAGAATAATATGCTGCATTCCACAGCCACTGAGGTCAGTTCCTGCATACAAATCTTCGCAGGAAGAAAAAGGCCTTCAGAAAGTGGGCCATTCATCTGAACCCAAGTTCAGAGAATTTCCAGCACGGTGAAAAGCTATGTTATGCAAGCACATAGACGTATTCAGTGGGGGTAGACACACCAGCTACATGGAGACTACAAAGGAGCCCTCCCATGGCTCATGAATAAGTCGAGGAAATGATCAGAAAAAAAAAAGAGAAAGATGTTTAGACAGATGGCCCACTTAAAATGCCTGAGACAGGGCATAAGCAATTTTAATGAAACTTTAGATCTGGTATATGAATTGTTTCTTATTTCCCCAGAGTGGAGGAGGAAGAAAAAAGAAAAAAAGCAAATCCAAGGAAGACAAAAATTTAGCAATTTGCTAGAAAATTGACTTTTAGCAAGTTTTGAGGAAGAGTCACAAATGCAAGTTTCAAGAGTGTAAGAAACTCATGCAAAACTGTTCAGGGAACCATCGGCTATCAAAATGAATATGGAAAGCATGGAATGAACAGATTAAAAGAATTTTAAACAGAAGTCTACTGCCAAACCAAACAAAAATGTACACCTTATTATGTGAGAAGTTAGGACAGTCAGTTCAGCATTAAAGTTCATCACTGCAGAAAATAGATAGATAAAAGCACTTTCAGAGAATCCCTTCAAAACCAGAAATTAGCACAGAGGAGAATTACAATTTTGCCTGTACACAATCTGAAATGTATGTATGTTCAAACATAGGAGACCTGCACAAGAATCCCCCACAAAGCTACGCTGAGAAACAGGGAGCACCCTTGAGTTTGGTGATGTTAGCATTACAGATGACACGCATAACATCAAATCTAGATTGAACAGCCATGTGACTTACCTCTTACATGTTTTAATGTTATGCATA